CAAATTGAGATTGAAAATTTATTTAAATTTTTCAAAGATAACCATTTTAACAATGATTCGGGATAACCGATTTCAATAAAATAGGGTACATAACTAATTTTATCTGTTAACCTTAAAAGTAATGTGATGACAAAAGGCATGGCTGGATATTTATTTGTAGCTGATGTTGAAAAATAGTTATCAATGTAGAGAATAAAGGCTTTTAATAATGTTTGATAATAATCATCAAAAACAGTATTGACACTTGATTTTAATATAGCTGATGAAGGATAATATTTCACTTTATTATATAGAGCTCTTGCACCTATAGCACTAAAAAGTCTTAAAAATAATTCGTATATATTTCGACTATTGTCATCAAATTGTACTTGTTGACATAAATAATTAATATTTGAAACTGAACACAAATAATCTAGGGCTAAAACAAAAGATTTATCGTTTAAATTTTTATCTAATTTCATTTCGATAAAAAATTCATTTTGAATAATGTTCATAATTATTATTAATAAAGGTGAATGTGGTAAGAATTGTTCCATTAAATGACGTAAAATATTAATTTCAACGATTTTCATTGATTGTATGATTTTTGTTTTGCTTAACATATCTATTGCCGATGGATTATTGTCTAGTTTAGCTAATTCATTGTCTAATTCATGAAGTAATTGATTAACATCATTTTGATTGAAACATAAATCACGTTTTTCAGTTAATACTATGTCTAATATATGAACTAATCCTAAAATATTTTCCTTGTCTGTTGTAGTTTGTGGTTCAGTCATTTTATTTTTTGAAATTGCTTGTACAATTTAATATACGTATATTCTCTGTCGCTGGTGTGTATAAAACAGAATAAATAATAAATAAAAATTCTATATCATTAACGTATAAATAGTTTCTTTTTTTTATAATAAATTAATATTCTTCATTTCTACATTTCCTTTGTCGTTATATATGTCCCTACTACATGTATTTATACCTTAATAATCAGTCAATCAATCATGAAGAGAAACATGTTTTAGTATTACTAAGGAGGTACATAGTATATCGATTTAATTGATATGATAGAAAAATGTTATGTTTAAACACAGGTTTTTTATGTAATGTTCTATGTCACAAACGTTTTTCAATATATACAGAAGTCTCATGATCAACGATAACTATGTTGTATATACCGCATGACTTGTTCACCAAGTTCATGAACGAAACGATGATTTAGCATTTTGATACACAAATGAATTTGGTAAAATTTAATAAAAGTCTTTTGAGAATATTTTTCATTGTTACAATATATTCTAGTCATTTGATCCCTATTGTTTTTTCTATTATTAGACATTTACTATTAAAAATTTGTTTATGATAATTCGAAAAGACAACAGTTAACAGATACAAAATTTATTAAGAATTCAAAATAATTTCTAACATTTGATAAGACTTTAATCTCTCAACATCTTTATCATTTCTGATCAATATTGATGGTAATTTTCTAATTTTTTTAATCATTTTTAATTCAATATTCATTTCATCACATATTGTAGATAAAAGTCGGACATATAAACAATCTAATTTGTCATTAGAACACTTTGTTTTATCAAATTCAAATTCAACAAAATCCTGTTCTTCACCATCCGCTATCCGACATAATAAAATTATTTCTAAAACAGGTATTATATTTTTTATGTATTATTAACTGAGTCTGTTGAAAAACTCTTTTACATACCATTAGATGAAGGATGAACACTTTTCTCCTCTGCATCTTGCGTCGTACAATGATTATTGGAATTAAATGATGATTCCTTTGTTAAAGGATTTTGTAAATATGGAAATTGAGGATGTCGTAAATAATTCGGTACAATCGAAAGATTGCTAACGGCTGGCTTGTAAGCTAGAAAAACGTTTAAATATTAAAAAACGTAATAAAGTATTGTTTTACCTAACTATACTGATTTCTAAAACCATACTGGTTTGTATTATTTCGGCCAAAATAATCGTAACAGAATCACACATTTTTTTACGCTTTCGACTGTAATTTCGCAGTCAGTTTAAAAGATAAAATGCTTAAATTCTTACCAAATCTGTCTAGTCACGTGCTCGACAATCTGTAAAATTTCAGTTAAGTCTGAATGTACGACTGAAGTTTTATAAGAAAAATATCAACAGTTACGAAATCACCCAAAATGGAAGTTTAAAGTTGTCGAAAACTCAGCTAATCTCCATTCTTTATGTGACAGCTTTTGCTAGTAATGTTGTACAAAAGTCCATGGGCTATCTCTTGGAAAAAACTTTTTTATAGCTCCGAAATTAACGCTTAAATAGCTAAAATATCATCGTTACAGAATCACACATTTTACAAATAACTATGTTTTTGCAGTTCGATTTTTTTCCCTCAAATTCATTACTCAATTGAAAAAAAAAATGAAGAGATTTTCGAGCCACAACAGAAGAAACTTTGTTTATCACTATCGACTCCCACCACTGAAGTGCATTTCCTACATTTTGTTTTACCAACCGAAAATGCGTATTATGGATGATCGGCAATTTAGGTATCCTAATGTGATCAGCTTATGCTTCGATATGAGTTTCATTTACATCGAAAACTAGCAGTAAGAGTTTTACACTGAAAGAGGCAGGTCAGTTAGGGAATGGATAGCAACGTATGATAGAACACTGGTATGAACGTTTGTACAAAATATACAGCAATGCTAGGAAATACTCAGGGCGGTACACTAAAGATCGGAAGAAATTGAATGAGATAAAATTGACGAGGATTCTCATGAATAAACATTATATTTTGTTTATCTTCTCAATGTAACATTGTCTTTTGCGAAAAGGCGCGGCCAAATCTATTCGTTTGAACGGCGAAAGTGCGGACTTCTATCTGTAGTTGTTCAAACGTTATCCAAGAAATATAAACATCCATTCTACTTTTAAACGGATTTGTACCGAATGTGAACAAGTACCTACTGTTAGATGAACTAAGATCGTCTATTAACAGTTTTTGAATAAATTCATTTGTACAATATTGTATTGGTTTTGTATTATCGAACGCTTCGCTATTTTTATCAGCACCATGATCCAACAAAAATTTAACTACATTGACATGACTTCTTTTCACAGCCCAATGTAAACATGTCCTGAAAATCATAGAAGAAATGTACATTCAACAGTCACTCGTATAAGACACATACCAACCGTTCATTCTATTTTGTGCATTAATATTTAAGTCAGGATTTAGCGAAAAAAGATGGCGGATACGCTCAAGATTCCCAACACAAGCTAATTCACGTAGCAACTCTTCATTTTCTCTTTCGTCGTTGTTATTATAGTTCATCTGGAAGAATAATATTTTAAACAGTTGTTTATTTTTTATTTGCGATAAACTGATACAGCCGAATAACAAGAAAAAAACAAACAAGAACACACAGGAAAGTAATTTACTTTCTTGTTTGTGAATGAATATTGAAAAAACGTGTTACGAAAGAGAGTACATCCAAAGAAAAATCTTGTACAATAAGAACAGAGAGACCGTTTTGCAAAGCTTAAGGAGATAAAAACAACAAAAGTTTCAGTTTATTTTTTCAGAACTCTCGTCTGTGATATTTATCTGGGTCATAATAAGATGTTACAACAACACGATTAGCAAATTTTCGGCCGGTTAATGCTTGTTGAGCTTTTTGGCATTCACTAATGGACGTAAATTCCACAAATATCTAAATTAAAATAAAACAATTATAGAAAATAGTATTAAGAAAACTACATAGGCTGAAATTACCTTTCCAACTCCTGGTACATCAACTCCCATAATCGGACGTGGTATCTCAAGACTTTTAACAGAACCATATTTTCCACATTCTTCTCGAACATCTTCCATTATATCTAGAAAAGAGCATGAAATATAGAAACATTAGAGACCATCAATATTCGACTATTTACCTTCAAATTCTTCATCATCTTTTAATTCATCTTCAGTAACCATATTTAACAAACATAAAACTTCTGTTACTGGTCCAGATCCGGATGACATATTTAAACCAGGAACTTGAACACTAACTGGAATAGACGTCATCTACAATAGAAGCAGAGAACTTTTGTGATATAAACAGAAGATCATAAGGAAACTAAGTCCTATCAAAAGATTGCCTGTCGGCAGAGTCTAGAAGAATATCTGACGTTTCACTTAGACAGACCAGCAAAGATCTACAGAGAACATTTTGGCAGACGTGCGCAGAACTCTGCTGCATACCACTCCAACGTTCAGGGGCTGGTGTCGCTAATTTTTTTTTATAGGGAGGTAAGAAAGCCTTTTAAAATTCTTAAATTTTTCTTGTTTACTTTTCTTTTACTCATATGCATCGACTCATATATTATAACTTATCAATATGAAATACATATCGATGATTAATCACAAAGACGTACATCTGCCTATCATATCACTAACTAATATTCATATAAAACCAAAAGATTGCTGATTCAAAGCATGAGAAAATGTATACATTACAACTGTTTAAGCCACACATAAACTTACTCCTGGCATATTTTTCGCTCCAACACTGGCCAATTGTACAATCAATTTTTTGTCTCCCAGCTGCATTCCATTCAGACCTTGAATGGCAGCATCGGTAACTCCAGCATCAACATATTCGCAAAAGGCGTATCCTTTCGATAGTCCAGTTGCTGCATCTTTTACAAGATTGAATGCTTTCAAAGGACCAAACGACATGAGTAACTCTTTGACCTAAAATAAACAAAAACAACAATAATGTCAAGAATTATTCATATTAACTCTTATCTTTCATGTACAAAATACTACGAAATTTTGTTTATAATAAAAATCAGCTGACTATGAGACTTATGCGTTGATGTAGAGTAGGAATGAATGCAGAGACTTTCTTCATCAATTTTTTGAGATCTTACAGTAGCTTACGTAATATGTATGTTCTACACTAAACACAAATCTTCAGCTTTTCCCAAAGAATTTTTTTGGCCTATATTTTCTAGCTCCAAATAGTATTTCAAAACAGCAAAATTGTCATAGATTCTCTTTATATCAACGAAGAGAACTTTCAAATTATTTTATATTAGAAAAATCTTCTCATTCAATGTTCATTAGATTTAAAATCGCAAAAGTACTAAAAAAATTTATCGTCAGTAAAAGAAGCGTATAGATTTAAAGTCACCATCCAAAATGTTTCTAAAAATGAAGCTGTCGAGGCAAGAAAAATAAAAAAGCAGTGTGAGATGATTTGAGAAGAAACTAAATAATCATTATATAAACTCTCTGAAAGAAAATAATGCAACAGCAGTCAGTCACTGGCATGATGGACAATCTAAAGTTCTAAAAGAAAATGAGAGATTCAGTGTTTTGTTGTTGCTAAATAAAAATGCATCATAAGTCGATTTTCTGAAATGAAATAATTTTTAAACTCGTCGACATAGTCGGGGATAAGTCACGCTTGAGAAAAAGCAACATAAATCAGACGAATGTTTTTCAGTATCCTAAGGTACGAATAAAGCTTTAGTTTTGTACGCATGTAAAAAATGTCGAAAAAAGGCTTGTTATTGTCACACGTCAAATTTATTCATAGACATTCTACTGGCAGTTGTTATACAAGCTATGACTACACTCAAAAATATTGTAAGTACTTTAATCAAAATAGCTAAAATCGGCTATGAATTAAATACATGTTGTAAATAGAAATTTGTTTTATGACTGAATATAAATGATGTTTCAAATGTGACCTCACTGATTACGTCGACGAGTTTATGCCTGTTGCGAAAAAAATCGCAAAATGGATGGTTGGTTTCTCCAACAAGCTCAGATTGATTTTTTCTCTCTAAAGAAAGTTCTCTAAAAGAAATAAGAAAGTAGAGATATTTTTTTTTCTGCCTGCCTGCTTGCATTTTCTTTTACATTAACAGCAGCGTCTCTTGGTGACATATCAATACGTCTGTTATATGCGTGTTAATTGAAATGTGTGTGTATATATGGCTTTAACCGTACTGTCGACAATGTACCGCCACTGACCTAGTCTAGAACAATAACAGAAGAGTTAAAATATTATTGTGATTAATTTAAAAAAAAAAAAAAGCTAGTATCTGTTTAGCCTTTAGTACATGTCTGTTTCACTCACATTAATCACCTACTTTTTCCTCGATTAACACAAAAATATCGAGACGCTTAACTAATGATTTAACTCACTTACCTGATCATCATTTAAATAATTTGGTAAACCGCCAATGAATATTTTAAACGGACTATCAGCAACCACAGTGGATATAACGCCTAAAACAAAAGAATAGTTGTTATCAAAATTTCTGTCTTTATCAAGAACTCATAATAACAAAAATCATTACCTGGAACATTTAAATTTGGTTGATCAGATATGCCCGGCATAGGTTGATAATCTCGTGGACGACGAATTTTTAAAGACTGTCCTTGAAATACAATTCCATCAAATGCCATTGCTGCTGTTGTTTCATCAATAGAGCGAAACTAAAATAAATATGATTCATTTTAAAGACACATGCAGCCGTATACTATTAAATTTAGAAACAATTTGCATAGTTGAGCAAAATGTTACAAAAATTTGACTCGAGAATAAAGACTATCAATAGGGGAAACATATGAAAAGTTAGAAACAGTTGTAAAGGAAATAAAAGGTTGAGCAAGAGTGATGAAGAGGTATGTAGACGAGGAAAGACATATGCTAACCAAATGTATGTATAAAACGGGTACAGAAGTATCATTTTTGTAAGAAAAATAACGCATGGAACAATCTTGTGCTCAAACAGAAAACTACTGAAAAGAAAGTTACTAAATAAAAATGTATCGCAAATAAGATTTACTTAGCAAAAAAAAGTGCCTTACTTCAAGAAAAGCAAAATTTTTATCCAAATTAATTTGTACAGCGATTACAGGATTTCCTTCTGTTTGAGATAGACCTGTCAGATGCATTTGTTGATTAAAAAAGTCCATCATTGCTGTCTAGAAAAAAAGATGATAGAATTAAATGATGGCATGGTTATTAATACTCATCCGAACTTACTTCTGATACTCCAAACGGTATATTACCGACATATAAGCGTCTCGATTGATGAACAACATGACTTCCTAAAACAGGTGTTGCAGCTGCTGTATTAGCACTCCAATCTTTACCACTGAATATTTGCGATATTTGACCAGATGCTAAAAATAAAAAAGTGGTAAATTCTATTCATTATAACTGAAAACATCTGTAGCTAACCTTGCATTGTTTTATATTGAATAGGTGTAATATGTTCAAAACCGGCAGGTGGTACATCCCAATATTTGTACTTTTTGGGCCCTTTTTTTTCTACTTTCTCTCTTTTACGATCACGTGGGGAATGAGAACGACTGAAAGAAATCAACAATTTTATTAAAATTTCCAAGTTACTTTTAAGTCCTAGAACATATACCTGTCTCGTCGTTTTTCTTTCGATCGTGATCGACGTTTTTTCTCATTACGGTCTCTTGATTTTGAACGTTTACGTCGTCTGTCACGCTCCCTTGAACGAGAACGGTGATTTCGATCTAAAATTCAAAAGAAAAAAATTTTATGTACCATAACTATGATCTATCATTTAAACTACAACTTACCATTGTCATCGTTTACCATATTAAAAATAGAAATTTTATCTAAAAGTATGATATAGATATCACTAAAATTTGACAACTGAGAGTCGAAGAAAATTTATTAATCAAATTTCAATATATTATCTGTGCTTGCAGCACAACAGCAAATTTTTTTTCTTTGACACTGTTCGCAGCTATTTGTCATTTTCATTCATTTCATACAGTTTAAGTTTATCGTTTGTGATTAATATAATCGAAAACAAACAACAAAGTAAACAACTAGTGACAGCAACTGAGAGAAAATAATATAAGGAATGATGTGAACATATTGAGTAAAGTAAACTTTATCCTCATTTGACACATTTTTCAGATCCGACAAGTATATACGATAAAAAAATATCTCTTGTAGAATAGTTTAAAAATCTTCATGATCGCATAGAAATCATAAAATATACAAAAATATTTAGCATTTCTCGCAACTTCAACGTGTTTCTCTTGTTGCATAACAAACGATTTCTCTGCCACCTATCGTGACGAATGTCATTGGACGAAACATACGCCATTCGATGTCACTTAGCAACTGATGCTCTTTTTTTTTTCTATATATCGTGTATAATAATATATATAATAAAAATAGGTACAGGTGTAGTTGTTTAAAACAAGTGGAAAAGGATAAGACTAACGCAACAGTTTAATGTTCAACACACACAACAGAGAAGGAAAGAAATTTGATCGTATATTGGTATATCATAAGATCGAATATATTTAGTATTTCTTTCTCTATATGTCCTTATTACACTTTAGTTTCTTTTTTTTTTCGTATGAGATGTTTTAACTAGTGTTTATTTTTGACTTTTTATGACCACGTACTGAGATGAAAATTTTTTTTGTATAACATGTACTTGATCTTTGAGCAGCCAGTAATTTAAAATGGTTCTTTCTTTTTTTTTTTTGTTGAGCATGTAGACTATTATACTATATAATCAATCTATATTATTCATTTTGTTACTTTTTTGACAGTGATTCAAGGAAATAGCTATTCTTCTACAATTTATAGGCTCTTTTTGAAATAATATGTGCTCATAAATAGTAATGTGCAGTTTTATTTATGACTAAATAAAGCGATGTACATACGTGTATTTTCTAGATATTCAATGGTAATTTCATTGATGAACATTTTGTCTAATTTTTTCAATGCTTCTATTGAAATGATGATCAAACAATATAATGGGATCCATAGTGCGACAAACTTATAGAAGAATTATGAAATATATTTTACGGTAAGATTATTTATGAACATTTACATATTGTTAAACAAAATGATTGATAAATCAGTTTTATTCTGAGACAATGTTGAATAACAAGTTGCCAATAGAAATAATTTTTTCCCAAACTAATGTGTCTTAGTCGATCAATTTTTTCAAACAAAAATCAGAACACTATTTGTTAATCGTCACATATTGACTAGTCACGAAAGTTATACTCATGATTTCTTATACCATTTTAAACGAGTTTATATATGGCAACGATACTGTAATCGCTCGTATCAATCTAAAAGCGTCTTTCAATTGTTTTTTTTGCTAGAGAGTTGTTTACTTTATTCTAGTCATTGGTGCATCGATGTTAAAGTGAATAATAATAGACAAAATGATGTTACTCAGGTATGTATCGGCGGTAGTTTCCCTTTTTTTCTTTGATGATCTCAAATAGAATAATAAAATAGGAGAAAGAGAATATTTTAAATAAATCCTGATAGTAACAATATAAGCGACTTCACATAACAACCATGATACTTATATTATAATTATTTACAATAGATTTCTCTTTTATATACTATATAATAAATAAACTTTTTATACATGTATGATATGTGTATGTTAATTTTAGTAAGTTTGAGTTATTCAAAGATGAAAAGAAATCATTATATTGCTCATTCAGGAGCGAATAATTTGAAGAAAATAACTATCATAGCATTTATGTGCTAAGGATATAATTGAAGATAAATGAGTTTTTAAATATGTAAAAACTTGTAAAAAAAAAGGGAATTTTCATGATGAGTTTGTCTCTCGTGTAAAATCTTTTTTTACTTCAAAATTTCGTTACCTCTTCTTAGTTAAAAATATCCAATAATGAAAATTTTTATGAACATTAATTTTATCGAGATACTTTTGATGTATAATTTTAGAAAACAAATGTTACAAATGAGATCGAAGACTCTGCTTTTGGGTATGCATCTAAAATTGAATAACTGTACAAGAGTATGTTGTACTAAGTTCACTTTTATTTTGCAGGGAAAAGCAAAACGACATAGATAAATCAAAATATGGAGAGAATAGACGTATAAATCCTGCCGTAAGTGTGATATGCGAATGATCTCCAAATAAAGATTTTTGTATTATGTTCATATCGCTTAATAGGACGAACAAGAAAAGATAGTAGAAAAAGATTTTGACGGAGGGTAAGATAATGATTGTATTATGCGTGTTAAGAATAACTTTTTTGTTTGCATTTGGTCTCTAGAATGGATCAAATAATTCGATTGTGCAGAAAAAGTAAGCATGAATTTTCAACACTTAGTCGAAACTATATATTAATTATATTAATTTAGCGGATGGCTTTCACGATAGTTTTATGGTTGAACTTGAATGGGAACATGAAGAAGGTAAAGTTGTCTGTCAATAGATTTTATGACTGTATTTTTTGACTTTTACAATAACTCATAAATTTAATTCAGCCTGAAACCTCTTTAAAATGAACGAATGAATAAACGTCAGCAAGATTTTTCTTCTACTTTCCTTATAGCAAACGCACAGAATATATACATAAGTGATATTAACACGTAGGTAGTGTTGTACAGAAGTGCGCATGTAGTGACGGGTTTATAATCTTAACCATTTCTTGTGGTAACTATGTTTTCTAAAAAAATGTTAACTAATGTTGCTCCTTTTTGTGTGTGATGTACACTGTTTTGCTTCTGAACCCATCCCGTATTGATGTGCTATCAGATTTTAGAATGATTTGTTCGAAAACGATAGTTAATATGTTGATTAATGAATATCAGAAACTTTTGATATATCAACTTTAATTTCCCATCAAATGATTATGAAATGAGACAATATTGTGTTCAGATCTTTTGATTAATTATTTTCTTCTTAACATGTCAATAAAAGTTTATATTTCCGAATTAGATGGGCCGTAGATAGATGATAAACGCTTGAAATGCTTGCAGTTTCAACTTGATTACGAAAATATTAATCTGGTTGAGACTCGCTACACTATTTTTTCATTGTGCTGTGTTTTCTGGTGTGCCCATTCTTGAACAGTCTGATTTGTTAATATTTTTTATATTTTTTTCTTAGGTATCCGATATAGTCCAAAACCACGTAGTAGATCCGAACAAGATTTACTTGAAATAATGTTACGATCACCAAATAAATCATCATTGTTCAATACTAACGGCGATAATAAAATGTGTGCAGATTTTGAATGGGATTATTTATTTGATTTCGGTGAGGTTGTTCGTTATGGTAGCACTAAAGTTAATGGCGGCGAAAATAGTGTACAAATAAGTGTGCAGTCAAAATAGATAGATTAAAAAAAAAAATAAAACAGTGAATAAAAAAGAAACGTCATTCTTTTTTTGTCCATTTTTTCTTTTAGTTTCAATACTTACAATAATATGTTGCTCAGTGTTGAATATTATTCAACTGTATTGTGATTTTCTCAAAAAAAACAGTTCACGTAGGAGTTATATTTTATTTTTGGAAAAGAAATGATTTATTTTTTTCTTGCTCATCTATTTTTTTTCTTTTGTAAAATAATTGCCGACGCACTCAGGAATTTTTTTCTAATTCTTTTTTTGCTGTATGCTTTGTTTTACACATACAACTTATGCTTGTAATGCTTTAGTAGTTTTTCGATAGAAGAATTCAATAAATAACAATTTGATGTACTTTTTTTTGAGAAAAATGTGTTTATTGTTGTATAAATTATACAATTTCCATTCATTTTATTGGAAAAAAAATGTATTTCATTTGAAATTTTTAATAAAAAATGAATTGTTATTCATAGAAATTTGAGAACATCAAACAGTTAGTCCTATTATCTAGAATACAATAATTTCTGAGAATATTGATCGTACTGATTGTATCATTTTAGATCTGAAATAAATGTCTAAGTCACTACGTGACTCATCAAATCGTATTAAAATAATTAGTTTAGGAAATATTAGTGTTGGAAAAAGTTGTCTGATTAAACGTTATTGCGAAAAACGTTTTGTCTCAAAATATATGGCTACAATAGGAATTGATTATGGTGTTACGCGATTAAAAATTCGTGACTATGACATTCGAATGAATATATTTGACTTTTCGGGACATCCACTGTGTAAGTACAAAGTTTTTATATAATAATTTTTTTTGTAAAACAAAAAATTGTTTTATAGTTTATGAAGTGCGAAATGAATTTTATAATGATACTCAAGGTGTAATGCTTGTCTTTGATGTTAATAATCGAAAAACATTTGATTCACTTGATTATTGGCTAAATGAAATGAAAAAAGATATACGACCAATTCAGTTGTTTGATCAATTGTGTATTGTTGTTGTGGCAAACAAAATTGACACAAATAAACGAGTAGTAGATGAATCAGAAGCACGTCTATGGGCTAATGTCCGTGGTTATCAATACTTTGAAACATCAGGTATATAATGAAAAAGAAAGACATTCTTGAATTAAATATCTTGTCTTTTTTTATATTCTAGCTCAAACGGGAGTTGGCGTACAAGAAATGTTTGATTGTTTATTTTCATCAATAATTGATGTTATTGAAAATGGTGAACTTAAAGTACCCAATATTGGATTTACAATTGAACAAGTCGAAGCTATAAATAGATTGAAAAACACAAAAGATAATTATGAGAGACTCGGCTTAAAACATAATTGTACAAAAGACGAAATAAATAATGCTTACAGAAAATTAGCAAAATTGCTACATCCAGATAAAAGTGTTGCACCCGGTAGTGAAGAAGCGTTTAAACTATTACTTAATGCAAAAACAGATTTATTGAATAAATTTGATAAATAATCAATTGGGTACTAGCGACAGAAAAGAACAAACAAGATGTCAGTCTTCTAGCGAAGGCAATAATAATATTTTAAGTTTGATTGTATGAGCGAACCAGTCAGTATATATGCATCAGTCAATTTAAAAAAATGAAACAATTAACTATTCTCAAATTATGTGTTCATAATGAAAAATGTTTTTGTATTGTAAACCTTTATTTCCCACGTGGATATGTGATTGCTTGTTTTAAACAGTTATTCAGTGTAATTATCTACAAATATCAACAAAAAGAAAAAAAATATAAAACATTAACCAAAGTAAAATGATAAACATAACAATAGATCTGACAAAGAAAAATAAACAGTAGGAAGCTAGCCCAAATTAACGTAAAAAAAATATTAAAAAAACATTACGCGATAAAACTTGATATCATAACAATATTAGTTGAAATAGCCATTACTTATAAAATAATCTGATTTTTTGAACTAGATCCTAATTCTTTATGTGGTAATACAATTGCATTCAATAAAATGACTTCACCAGGTACACTGACGTTATTACCTGAAAGATGAAATCACATAAAATGCTTTGAAATGTGAACTATGGTATAAGTTGTACCTATAACAGTTATGGAAGGATGCAGTTTCCCATCATGGAATAATGAATCTTGCTCGATTTTTGAAAATTGCTTGTTCGGATCAGGGTCTAGAATAGAACACGATTAATATCAATATCACAGACTACCTGTTTACATCGAGCTCAGATAAACAAGAAACGGACATAAATAATAGCGATGGTACATCGAACATAATTCTGTCAAAATGCTTTCAATTATGCAATCCTTCTATTACCAGATGGTGTGCCTTCCACTCTTGTCCAAGGTCCAATTGTAGAATTCCAGCCGATAATGCTGTATAGCACACAACAATGATCCTATAAATAGTAAAAAAAGAATAGAAAAGACAAAAAAAAACACAAATAACTATGTAGTATACCTGTAATACACAATTTCCAAGTATAATTGATTCGCGAATACGCACTCCTGTTCCAACAGAGACATCGTGACCTATTGAAACGTTTGGACCAAGCTGTTAAATAAACATATTATAATGAGATTTATAAATAGTTTAAATAATAGACAAAAAATCTTACTACAGCTGATGGTGCGACACATGCTGTTGGATGAATAAACACATCTCCGATTATGGTTGGTGTATTTTTAACATCAGAATTTATTGCTAATCGTTCAGGATAATACATGCGATACATTTCCAAATAATGACGATTTGCATAGATAACAGAACTGAAATAACAGTAGAAATAAGTAATGGATATTTTGCTGTTTAAAAGCTACATACCCAGCCGATTTAATTGAACTCCAAAATTTATCACTCATTGGATAAATAAACAATTGTCCAGTACCAGCCAACTTTGCAATAACATCTTTTTCTAAACGGATACATTCACGAGTTTCGTAGCGAGTAACATCATTTATAAGAAATGAGGGTTCTGATGAGCATTCATCTCTAAAATAAAAATTAAAGATAAATTATCAGGCTCATATTAGACTCCAGTCAAAAGGCTAAAAAAGCAAGATTCACGTACGATAAGAAGCATTCCTCTTTATGCGTCAATGTTTCAAGGATGCATGCAACCTAAACAAGTATAACTGCATCAAAAATCTTTCCTACTCAAACTAGTTATTCTTTCTGCCATTAAAAAAGCTAAGAGACCATTTCAAACGTTAGAAAAAAAATATTAGTTATAATAACAAAACAAGGCAGTTATTGAAAAATGTTTTCGAAAGATAGACTGATTTCTTCATACTACAATAAAATAAAATGAGAGACAAGCTACGCCTCGAGAAGGTTGAAAAATCGATCGGGTCTTGACAATCAAGAATAAGCAAGAACGAGTGGCTAATTTCAAAGAAAAGTGTCGAGAAGAGAGAAGAACGTTTTATGGTGAAAAGCCTTTTGTTCCAGTCAGTTGATTTAGCTATGAGTCTTCGCTGATGCTTCATCTACAGAGTATCTAAAAAGGATATTAAAAGACATTTGTTGTTCATACTTATAAATTTGTTGATTTTTCTTGTATGTATCTGATAATATTTGAAAAATGCCTTTTGAGAATAGAAAAACACCACAACTAATTGTTGTAGAAACAAACGTTTCCGGTTTTTCAACATAATGTTTAACTTCATTCGTTTTTTTATCCCAAGCTATACATCCATAATTGCATGACTGTTTTTCTGTTGCCTAAAATATTGATGTTTAAATAGATATCAAAAATTGTTTTATACAGAAATGATTACCTCTGTTCCTAAAATGGTGAAACCTTTTCCTCCTACATGCTGTCTATGAAACTCGAGCATTTGCGTTAATGGCAAGTCGCCACATATATCACCTGTAAAAAGAAAAGAAATAAGTGTTTACATCTGGTCCTTCGATATTTTATATATCTCATAATATTGTACATTATAGAAACTCACCATTAATTACAAAAAACGATTCTGATAAATTTGATTTTATTAAATCGCGAAAATGGTATATACCTCCGGCTGTTCCCAGAGACGTGTATTCTTGCAAATATCTGATACGAGAGAAAAACGTCAAAATAAATGGTGTTTTTTTTGTGTTTTTACTTCTTACCGTATCGAAATATTGAATGATTGTTGAGCATTCGCTATAAAACGTGATAATGCTTCATTCGGTTGATAAGATCCAATTAATAAAATTTCTCGAAGTTCACTAACCTAAATATGATCAAGACTCAAGTCACTCCATTATTCAAGGTGAGCATTGCTTCAGCTTACTTTTATACATGATTCAATCAAATGATGAATAATTGGATAACCAGCCACAGGGAAGAGATGTTTTGGCATTTCCAATGATAATGGACGAAAGCGTGTACCTTAATGATATGAAATTAAATCGATTAGGCAAGAATTCAACAAATAAAAGCGTTTTTTACCTTTCTGCGGACCACCGATTAAAATAACAGCTTTCAACATCTTTTTCAATAAATAAAATGAAAATAATTATCTATCTAAAAGCACAAGCTACAAGATAATCACCATAAAGAACGTCGTTCTTTTTTTCTTCTCGTCTATGCTATTTAATATATTTTTAATATTTTATTTTACACATGCTTGTTAAACAAAAAATTATCTGTAGTACTAAAAAAAAAAAGTAGATCTTTTTGATCTCATAACTTCTTCGAGCCGAAATAGATATATTTTTCGTTATGTAGAGGAAAGACCGAAAAATTTAAAATATGTTCGGAAAGCAGATAAAGTCTTGTTCTCAGAGCTAGTGTGAGGCACTCAGGATTGGGGACCAGAGGGGTGCTGGCTCCTCCCTAAAAAGATTTGTGGGCTTTCTGGCAAAAATATAGAAAACGTTTTTTCGCCGGGCACTTTCTGTGAAACAAAATTTTTAGTCCCTCTCATCTCTAAGAACAATTGGAAACCCTGTTGGGGACGGAGGATGAGGAGCTTTATTCGCAAAGTTTTTTTTCATTTGGCTAGTGAAAAAGAATTATTTTCAATCATTGGGGAAAGGCGGGGGACATTTGCCGGCTTTTTATAACATCAATAAATATAGAGTATCTGTAGGTTTCGGTTTCTGATTGGTTATCCGAAAGCGATCATAATCGGTAGCCAAAAATGTTTTTATTTGTACAGATTCTTGAAAATACGTTTGAAACAGTATGAAGGAAACAACTGTTGGCTAATCAACAAATGTTTATCCCAGACGAAAGCTGTTCAGAATTGTACGCTGTACATTTTTTGGATCCAACACTTTTCATAGAAGTTTAAGGAAAAAAGTTACTTCAAAGATACAACTTTTATTTTTTGAAAAATTTTCACTTAATTTAAAATACCTTTTTTCCTTAGATTTTTGTGAAAAGTGTTGAATACAAAACATTACCACATGATTGAAATGAATTCAAGAAAACGTCAAACTTTAAAAAAAAAACATTTTCTACGCCAGAGCAAAAGAATTGTTGTTAGAACAAAAAGGATTATTATAGCCACGTAATGTTCCGGTTTAAAGGTTGTCGGTTGTATCGGTTGTCAATTAACCGAAACTGTTCAATGCCTATTTGTATAGGACCTAGTTTGACTGCATAGAACATCTGCTACTCTACTGACGTAGGTTTAAACTATATTTATTTAGAACAAAAAAGAAAATCTGATAACTCTCCTTCTAATTCGCGTACGCATTACATAGTTACAGAGTTATTATCCACAATGTTATCCTAACCGTTAAACATAAACACAAACAGTACTGAATGACGTTTATACCCTTAGTGTAAAAGACTGAGGAAAAGTGGAAATGGAGCATTCTAAATATCAATTTCTCGTGTTCGAAGCTATGTTTTTTTTATGCTCCACTTCCACTTTACCTCAGCTTATGATGACCTACTTCCTACGCAAGCTATAAACAAAATAAATTGTATTTTTTGAACAACTATCGTTTTGAGCTGTTTTTAGGACTCTACCACCAGTGTTTCTAATAACTGGTGATTGCCGTGAGAACAAGGTGGTCTTCCACTTTGCAACAGCCAGTTTCCACTCTGTTTTTCACTATGAAAATGGCGAAAGTCACTTTACTTTTTAAAATAACCATGATGAACGAATTGTTATAATATTTATTCTTTGACGTTTAAATGGAAGGTCATTGTAAAGTTTGAGAAAGATTTTAAGCACTCTTTCTACTTTAATAATAAATAACTCTTTATTCAGACGTTTCGGCAAACATCAGCCTGCCTTCTTCAGTGCAGATTTTTAAAGGACAAAATGACAACAAACTGAAAATAACTGTAAATAGTCCTTTTTCTTTTCTTTCTGTCTTTTCTTTCTAATACTGGGACGGAAACAAGACGGTAAAACTGGATAGGATAACTATTCGTCATCTTCTTCCTCCGTAATAGTATTAGAAAGAAAAGACAGAAAGAAAATAAAAGGACTATTTACAGTTATTTCAGTTTGTTGTCCTTTAAAAATCTGCACTGAAAAAGGCAGGCTGTTGTCTGCCGAAACATCTGACTAAAGAGTTATTCATTATTAAAGCAGGAAGAGTACTTAAAATCTTTCTCAAACATTTATTTCAACATATTTATTCTTTTATTTTATTTCTTTATTGTATATATATATTGCTTTATCCGTTACTGATTAGATGTCAGTTACTTTTATTTTTAAGAAACACATGGCTATAAGAACAAGCGCATAACAGACTTAACTCAAGTTAACAAAGCTGAGATAGGTCCAAATTTTCGGACACAGTCTGACAGCAGTTTTACAGAGGCGCTGGAAACTTGTGTTGAAAACACTATGACTACTTTGCGTTTTAGAGAAAAGTGGTTCAGTCCATTCTGATTTCAAATCTCATAGAAACGCCGTTTAGCATAAATTTCACAACTTGTGAAGACGAAGTTCTCCTTAAAAAGTTTTGCGAAGCTTACTAATAGGGTTGCAGTCGCCTAAAACAGTATTTTGAAAATGTGAGTAATATTAACTTTGTCAAATTTCTCCGACATATGGGACTAAGCTGAGATATTCTTTTTTTGTCTTTTTCCATCCATAGTTGAATTATCGACTACTCATCTATTGCGATCATGAATGTCAGTCTGGAGACTAGAAGTGCAGACAGCACTGTAACAGTTCTTTCTGTTAAACTGAATGATTGATGGTTAGCGAGAGGTCGCAAATCGTACGCACAAGATGCAACACTATATTGTCTATCTAAACTGGCAGAAACCTATAAAAAAACAAAGAGTAAATTTAAAATTCAGAATGTGTAGCGTATACTCTATTTTTCTCACATGGTGTAAAATAATGTGTACACTCCCTAGTGAATGTACTTGGGTAAGTAATGTCCAGAGTATCTGGAATTTTTTGCAAGTAAAAAAGGTACTTATCAAGTAATTTAACAAGTATAAGTACTAGGTAAGTACTTCATCAAGTATTTGGCAGGTAACTTGGTAAGTACTTGCGAAATATATGCAAGTATCCAAAGCTCGTCCAAGGTCTTTTACACGTATTAAATCTAAAAATGTTTAACAAGTGCTTAACCAAGTACTTTAGAAAATTTGCAAGTAACTAAGTACTCAATCTCAAGTACGTTCACTGGGGTTTAGCTTTGTTAGGGTACACTGCATATTCTATTGTAACCGTTGAAGAGAGTGTACCCGGTACACTACTCTCTTATCAGAAACGCTGTTCTATTTCTGAATCTGCTAACTTGAAAATGCATCTTTTGGTTTATTTTTTTCCGCTTTATAATATAAGTAATGTATATAAACGTATAACGATAAATTAATCGGTCTTTCTGATCAATAGCTTTTAAAGTCGGGAGAGGTCACTAGAGAGCGATTATATAAACCATTGCATCTTTCACAAAACAGGAACATTGTCAATAAATTCTTGAAAATACAATGTTGCAAGAACACTCTGAAAGATTCATCTGCAAAAGTTGTTGCGTGCACCTTGTTGAGCCCGTTTCATTGAATGGATATAAGGAACGAAGCAGCTGATGGTGAGTGTGAGTCATCGTATTATAACGAGTCGAGATCAAAACAAAATCTGATCAAGATACTCGTCTAATGATTAGATCAAGATGAGCTTCATCCAAAGTGCTCTAAATCCAAAAGATGTCACAAAAGCGTATTTTACTATCTTCGTTTTGTAAATATACTACGTTTGGCACACTTATAAAAAGTGGTTGCAATAGTATGAAAAAGATATTCATTATACGTTGTTGAATTTAGATGACTTATAAAAGAAAAAAATCCTAAAATCATCATAATAGATTTTGCCTGTGGCTGCTTATTGATATATACTTTTCAGTTGACACGAAAAATAAAAATTCGTCCCGTATTTTCTGATTGATCAAGGTGCTATGATGCTTGGAAAGTTACTCTTCAACCAAGTTTGATTGTAGCCAAATCTTAGTCTGATAGTTTGTCGTGCTGTAAAAAAAGCGGCTATGTCGAACATCAACTTTGAAATTGTAGGAAAATCTAATTCTTATTCTCATCTAAGCAATATCTATGTATGTTAGCGTTCTCACCGGAATCTATAGTAAAATTGAAATTGCAAGGATCCTTTTTAGATCTATACTTAAGTATATCGTTTATTATATTACTTTTTAATGGCAGAATGTGAAAGGCCACAACGAAATAGACAACAGGTATGTAACTATGTTTAGTTAAGATTCTATTCTATCTAAGGGCAAAGTTAGTTTTACACTGATACAAAAGTCCCGGTTTGGTTTTATATTTTATTCTAACATTATAACACGATTCAATACTGATATTTTTGTATCACACACGCATCGATGAATGTTGGCGTATTGAAGATATGGACGAATAATATAAATCTTCTTATTGTAGAAAAATGACAAAGAGAACATCAGTGATGACAAATTATTGGAAGAACGTTTAGAAATTCTTAAAGAATTTTTTAACGAACAAAATATAAAGAACGTACGTATTATCACTGACACGAACTATAAAAGCTACCTGAAACTTATTGTTTATTCTTTTTCCACAGAACAGTAATGAACTTTTGGAAAGTAGTTCTTCTATCACAAATCAAAACCAAGATGTGGTTTTGGAAGAAAACCAAGATGTGATTTTGGAAGAAAATCCAAATGTGATTTTGGAAGAAAACCAAAATGTGATTTTGGAAGAAAACCAAGATGTGGTTTTGAAGGAAAACCAAGATCTGATTTTAGAAGAACATCAACAAGAAAATACAGTTGAAAATATCACTAATGATGTTGATTTGAATGTACCCATTACGATTAATACAGAAGATCAAATCAATTCGGTGACAGAACAAGTTGAAACAAATGAATCTGTGCAATCAAATATTTATGAAAGATCATCTTTTCTCTATCCTTTTCTCTATCCTCAATTGATATCAAATGCTACAGCTCCACTACCATCACTTGTTCAGAGTGAATTCGAAAAAATAGTCGATCCTTATTCTATACTGAATTTCGATCCATCTGATTTACAATCAGAACTTCGTCGAACGTATCTTCCATTTATTCAGTTATTCGATTCAACATTTTCATCTGAACACGATTCTTATATAACATCTGACCCAAGAAAACGTTCATTATTAACCATCACATCGAATGAAAATAGTACGATAGACGACGATGATGAGTTCTACCATTTAATATCATCATTCTACGACGTACGAACAAAAGTTGATCATTTAACTAACGAATATGATGTATTACAACGAAAAATAGCTTCTCTGTTGCCACACGTATGGTCATTCTCATCTGAAAAAGCTGAATCTGGATCATATTGTGGGGATAGTGTTTATTTAAAACGTTCTGTTCTATTTGAACAAGCAAATTTTGATCGAAATTTAGCAAATGAAGTCGATGATACATTAAAACAATTGCGATCAATTATTTATAAACAATATGTAGCGCTCAAATATGAAACATTATGGTATAAAATGAAAATTGATCAATATATAGCGAATATAATTTCAAATCGTTCAAAATTATTACATGCAATTGAAATTCTCTTTAATTTTCAACGATATCGTACACGAGATAATTATTTTTATACGTATACAAGACAAGTGTTGAAACGAACAGTATCCGCTGTATACTCAAATGGAACATACAACGAAACATTATTTATTATCAATCATGTACTTCGGTGTCCGCCAGGTATAAGTCAATGGTAAGTACGTATGTATGTTTGATTCCAAAATGATGCAATAAATGTGACTGAAAACATTTAATAGTAAATAATAATACATTTTGTCTATTTATTGTTAGGGCTATTGAATTTGTTAAATTTTTACTACCATCATCGTTGACGGTACTCTATTCTGATACTTATACGAAGTATTGTGCACATTTTTTGGCTACAATATTATTTCCAATTAAAAATCGCGAACGTTTTCTACAAAATTGGATTGGTGAAAATGGTGAACGTTGTCCAACAACACCCATCAATCCAAATACAAAAAATGATTGGCTATTGATTGATGCCGATGGTCATGAACGTACAGCTATTTTACGATGGGATACATTAAATGAAGATGATCTTATTGGATTATTACAACAGTTTGATTTAAATTATTTAATGAAATTATTATTCAATATAACCAATAATCAAGATGATCATAATCAAATTGATAATATGTATGAACATGCAATAAAAACACTAGCGTTACTTGATTTATTCGCCGAAATATTATGCCAAGGATTTAGTACATATAGTGATTCGCAATATAAAATGTTTCACAAACATATTGGAAAACTAGTTAGAGATTGTGTTCATGCTTGTCGATATCATGTTGATTGTGTATCAAAATGTTTGTCAACTGAAGAAAATGAAAAATTATGGAAACATTATTATGCTTATATTTATCGATCAGTTGAAAGTATTATTAGTAAAGCACGGTAATGACTTTGTTTTATTTTGTTTTCTTTGATTATATAAAAATTGTTAACATTGTTTATAGAAATGTTCGCTGGAATTTATTATCATTATTCGCATTATTTGATTTACCATCACCTGTTCGAACACGTTTACTTCATATAATTTGTTCTATATCCGACAATGAAATTATCACATGTAACTTGATTGAAACACTTTATCTCTAATTTGATAAAATATTCGTGTTTTATTTAGTTGAAGGAAATTCATCATTGGATCAAATGCTGAATGTATCGACGCCGAGTGAAATTCTTTCACTTTTAAAAGTATTACATAATCTTGGACAACCAGGAGATGATGATGGTCAATTCACGAATGTTATTTTTAACATATGCTTTATTCATCCTATATCACGTGAATATTCACTAAGGGACGGACGAGCGATATTAGTTCATTTTTCGACAATTGAACCAACGTTAATTAGTCATTTTGTTACATTGGCAGCATCCAGTATTACAACTGTTGGAAAAGTATTAATTGGTGTATTTAGAGAGTTACCAATTCATTTATGGAAACCCAACAGAGATGATTTAGAACAAATAGAAAAATGGCTAATGGATATTGAATCAACTGTTTCATTTCAACTAGCAATACATTTGATCGATTCAATTAATTGGAACTTTTCATTAGATACTCCTTCAGAATTGTTTGTCCCCTATTTTGTTCATTGTAAAGTGGCATTTATCTTATTACAATTACATATGAAATATTGTGATAAAATAACAGCCACTAAAGAACATCAACAACAGGTTTGTGAAATTTATGTGAAAGCATAATTGAAAAATGGAAGAGTGAATCGATCTTTCTTTTTATTTAAAAACGGTTACTAAAAATATGAACGATTTCTTCTAATGGTCAATTTTATGTTTAGATAAATGCTTATGAAAAAATTAAACGATCGACTTCAAACAAAAATAGTAAAACTCAAAATTTAGATGAATGGATTTGGTTTGAATTACTGCGTTTAAGGTTAAATCGTTCTTGTTTATCAATCGAAAAATTTGTCAACAGTGCAAATAAAGAAGATACACATGGTGATTTCAACGATGAGTCACTTATTGGTGAGAATTTAGCAGAATTACAACGTGCCGCAAATCAAAATCATAGTTTATTGGCAATATATATGCTATTTGGTTTAGATGTACCCGGAAACAGGTTTGAATTTGATGTTGTGTAGACGCGGAGAGGATGAGATGAAACTCGCAGTTCTTCTTGGAGGACTTTTCCTTCCTCTCATGATAAACCCTTCTAGGAAGATTTTATGACTGTGTCCCATCAAGAAACCCAAAATCACGCTTTGTCCGCCTCTGCTGTGTAGTTGTTTTCTATAGTGTGAATTGTGTTTTTTTAGCGCTGCTGGCTTTTTTGAACTTGGTATCGCCTATTTATCTCAGCTGATACAGAACGGAAAATATTTGGCTTCTATTAGAATATTGCACGATATGTCGGGAATATTGGTCCGAAGTGTACAATATTTAATTGAAAATGTAGAGTAAGTCGAGAAAATCTGAGTTTAGTTTTTGTCCAGAAAAATTGCTACAAATGGAAGCGTTAATCTGTATTATTTTGTTCTGTTCTAAATTAAATTTGTTTTCGAATAGGTTTATGACTAGTTTAAAAACGTTACTCAATGCATCAGATAATCCACCGTCTTTTCTCAAAACTGCCACATCTTATTTGCATACACAACAACAAACAGAAGGTTCATTAACATCAAAACTCTTAGCATCAGCTTTATTGGTAATACAGAAATAAATCAGTTCTATTACTTGATATTTTAAGCATTTATTTTCATTTAGGATTTATTAATTTGGCTTGAAGATAGTCCGAAATACCGTCGTCTAGTTCTGCTACTGTGGTTTAAATTGTTGACAGCATTGAAAGAATGGAATAAAGACAAGTGAGAAAAGACTATTATCAATATGATAAATATCTCACTTTTAACATTTTTAGCTCTATTTTATACGTTTTGGATCAAATTCTTTCGCATTCATTTGTTCACGATGTTATGAATAAAGAAGTTGTTGACCATTTGTTTGAATTAGCTGTTGTAAGTAGTCAAAGCTAAAGTATAGACACGTTTTTAACTATTCTTTTTAATGTTTTAGTCAGCTTTGAGCCCAAATCAGCATAATCAATCACGTGCAGGTTTCTTCTCATGGTTACCTCTACCATCAACTGATGCAACACAAATCTATTGGTCACTGCTATCGATTGATTCATCATTATTATCTCGTTATCCAGTAGTTAGTTATTTCTTTTTAAATGCTGAATATTCATTTGAATTAGATGAAAATGTTCTGATGAATCTGAAGAAAGAATTAGAAAATAATTCTAATGGAAAAGTTGAATCCATATGGAAGGTTCGTCTAGAACTCGTATACAAACTTCTATTATGTTAACAACGTATTTGTTTTTCGTTTAGAAATTGATTCAACAACGTCATTATCCGTCAATTCCTTTGACAAGTCTTTCACTTTATCGTTGGGGAACAATGGCAAGTGAAATGTCTGTCAAACATCCGTTACTACCAATTGTATGGGAAAATTTTTTTACAATTTATTTATCAAAACATCAAAACGGTTTACATCATGTGGGTTATCGTTTATTTGAAACTCCGACACAGATCACATTTTTAAAACAAATGAAACGTTCATTATGTCAAGCTAGTGAATACTATGCATCACAACAACATATGACATATGCTAATAAATTAACAACATTCTATAATTCATTATCATTGTGGATAGATGAGGTAATAAATATTGTCTGTATGAGTGTACAGAAAGATAGTGTCTGTTTTGTTTTTTAGCCGCGAATTCATGATCCACAACTAAATATCAATTCATTGCCACCACAATATGATAATGAACGTCTTTCATTACTATTTGATTCAGAAGGCAAAAGAATGGAATTAAAATGGATGGAATTAGTTGATATTAGACATCTGTATGAAAATCTAGAACAATTAGCATCAACAAATTGGTCTCATCTTTATCCGAGAACTACCGCTATCACCATAAACCGAACGTCTACTCTGAACACTGATCAATTGTTGACTTCTGCAGAAAAATTAATCGATCTTGTTTCAAATGTTAGTCTTAATGTACAACAAATTTCTTCTTCTAATGAACCTGACGATCAAGCAGTTTTACCACTATTAAACATACCTAATGATAAAAAACAAATCAAAGTACTATTTGAAAAAGAACTAATAAATGTTATTAATTGGTTAGAAACCCATTGTCAACGACATGAAAAACAATTAGAATTCGATCAACTTATCATGACATTGTTACCATTGCTGTGGAAAAATGAATTTCAAGAAGTATGTTAGTTCGTATCTGCCTAAATGTGACCAAAATTTAAGCCAATTAGTATAAAAGCCGTCACAAATTGGAGCGAGTAAAGTTACGTATTCTGCGTTTTCAAAATACAATCACTTTTTAATTAATGAGTAATCAACAATCGTAATTTGAAATAGAGATATATAAATTGGTCGCTTTCTAGAAACAATAGAGTACAATGGAAGTAGAAACATATATAATAAGAATTAGCGACTATATATTTGAAGATGCTCGTTTTTCATTTGATATGTGGAATCATTTTGATTCAATTGATGAAAGACCGAGTACAAATAATCACCTAAAAGGTTATCATCGACAACTAAATGCACGCGTGCGAACGAATCTGGGTCTCTGGACGTGGATTAATGAAGTTCGTTCATCTGAAGAATCTGTTATGAGTCGTTATGAACAAGAAGAAGCTCAAGAACGTAGAAGACCAAGAAAAATAAAAAATATACGTGACCACGACAAACTTAAACAAAAACAAAATATATCCAAGATAAAGACTTCGATAGTTATCAAGAAGTTTTAAGAGCTCTTTCTCATCGGTATATTGACGTTATAAAAGGTACCAGAGGTAGTAGTGACAAAGACTAAATTTTTTGTTGATATAGCTTTTCTTAGTATAGCTGCGTATTATCCATAAATATATAGTCACTAATTCTTATTATATATGTTTCTACTTCCATTGTACTCTATTGTTTCTAGAAAGCAACTAATTTATATATCTCTATTTCAAATTACGATTGTTGATTACTCATTAATTAAAAAGTAATCGCTTTTTGGAAACGAAGAATATGTAACTTTACACGTTCCAATTTGCGATCACTTTTATACTAACTGACTTGAATTTTGGTGGCATTTAGGAAGTAGCCTGTTAGTTTTTTTTCATCATCTTATAACTGATATTATCAAAAAGTCCACATATTGTTTTGTTTGGAACTCATTAGAGATCAAATCGAGTTAGCATTCTTCAATCTACTGCCGACTTGAATATTTTGGCTACATTTTTCGAGAAGATTTACATTTCTCTTCAAATTCTTTTAATCTATTAAAATATGATTATTTCTTTTTCTTTTTTTAGCAATCGATTCAGGCATCATGTCAAAATGCCTTGAATCCTGTCCATCAGTGTACTCGTCCGGCGTACATTATTGTCCGTTATAAATCAAAACAACAGTGTCAAAATTCCACTCAACGTCTTGAGTCAACATTGAGTGAACATAAATCGTTGTTGACTGATGCTTGTCGTTCGTGTGATATATCTATTTGTAAATCTATCGATTATATGAATCAAATTGTTAATTATCTAACAAAACAGTTATCGTCATCGACCTCTTATGATACGTCAATGTCATTGTCTATAATAGAAGTGGGTACCGAATTATTTTATATTATGTTAAAAGTATACAACGAAAACTATAATGAGTACATGTTACCATTACATGAACAGATAAATTCCCTGTTAGATATATTGGGTGAAATATTTGTAAAATGTAATCCAAAACAAGCACAAACAATCATTGAACATATTGTACTACAACGAGCAAATATTACACGTCTTATTCTCTATTTTAATCCAAATTCTGTACAGAACGATAAATTTATTGATATTTATAAAAAATTATCAAAATTATATACAATTATTGAACGCATGTCATATCTTATACAATTGTTTCGAAAATTTAATATAACTCTTTGGTTTACATCAGTTACAAATACACAACGATTAACATTTATTACAACATTATTTCTTCATATGAGATCACTAGTAGAAGATTTTCATTTAGCAGCTAAAACTGATCATCCACCATTGTACGATGAACCACCACTAATCGAACAAACACAACAATTGTTCGATATAGCCATTGGTCATATGGTACAAATATTACATTATAATTATCCAACACAAACGGGACATTTGTTTCAGGCAATTATCGAAACGATGTTTAGTCTTCGAAAGAAGCAACCAGTATCATCAACGCCAATTGAATTCAATCAATCAATTGAACTAGGACTTTTACCATCCAAAGTATTATATGAGTATTTGGAACAGTTACAGTTACTAGAAAGCACAGCAACAATTACACTCGGGGTTCAGCAAATTGATGATATGCTCAACTGGTTAATAGCATTCGTAATAAATCAAACGGTAGTGTTTCTTACTTAACTGACAATAAAATTGTCTAAAGGGGATGAGTTTATAGTTTAAACATTCTATTTTATCTTTTTTTATAGGAAAGTGGTGGTGAGAAACGTTTGCAACGTTTATATGAATTATGGAAACCATGTTCATTTGAACTAACTCGAATTTATTCGATTATTTTCACGTTCAGTGTTCGAAAATTGTTATTTAATGGCCAATTCGATTTAAATCAAATATTTGGTCGATTAAAATCATTGTATAGTTCATTTATCAATCCTAGTGGTACTCTTGTTGTCGTTGTTACTGAATGGAAATATATTATAGATAATTATAATACGGAATTAACTCATATGATTAAATGTTTTATTCAATCATGTCAGTTTCTTTATGATTGTCTGCGTAACACAACAGCATCAATACACAATCAATATTTTACATGTTTATTAAATTATTGGTACGAAGTGACAAAATGTTTTATTTTAAATGAACAAACGTATGTTGTATTGGAACTTTATCATCATTACTTAAAATTATTACCATGGTACAATCATAATCCAACTGTTGAATGTCTATTAATGCTCGAACAACTACTCAGTGAACAAGATCATTTACCATCAACCGTCTATGAATTTATGGTTCATTTATTATCAGTAGTTGATACTCAAACATGGATGGCAAATACTACGAATGATAAAACATCATTGATACCCGTTTATTTTCGTCTATTAGTTAATTTATTTTTATCTGAACAAGCAAATTATCCTGATGTAAGTTAAAAAATCTAATTATTGATTCATAGTTAAAACTTGTATTTCCTCTATTTTAGAATAATGAATATTTAAGTAAATTATCTAGTCAATGTGAGAATATTAACTGGTCTTATTTAGATTTTGAAATGTATCAAGATGTTATCAATTCACTTATCTCTAAAATCCCATATAATTTTATAATTGCACCTCGTGCTTCAATTGAAGGTTATTTAGTGCGGTATGTAAATAATTAAACATTTCATACTTTTATAAACTTCTTTTATTTTAATTTTAGAATTCTTCGTTGTTCATGTGAATTTTGGTCATCGTCTGTCACTTCTGATCACATACGAAGTAAACGTTTATGTTATATTCGTTTAATTGAACAATGTTTAATTAATGGTAAAGGTCAACATGAACGTGATGAATATCGTTTAGCGCTTATTAATATATTGAATGATGTTGAATCACTCTCATTACAAAATAAACTGAATATTCATGATGAATTAGAAGATATACTTATTGAATTAATTCGTTTTTTAAATATACCATCTCTTGGTCAACAATGTTTGGCAAGTTATCATAATTATCTATTAGAATGGATTCGTCATAGTCAAAAATCAGTTATGATGATACCGATGTTAAAAAGTGTATGTAAAACAATCAAAGATATAAATCGAAAAGTAATTTTAATCGAAACAACTTTGTATATGTATTTTCTTCATGATAAACATGGAAATTGGATGACAATAATTGATATATTTAATCAAAATGAAATAAAACATAAAACAGATGATTATATTCGATGTTGTTGTGAACATAATGCTCTACTAACATTGTATCTTTATGTAGAATATCAACAAATGATAAATACCAAAAATAATGATCAGCTACAACATGAACTTGAATTACTAGAAAAAATAGTTGATTTATTAACAACACTTAAAGTAAAAATTCCTCATGGTGAAGAAGAACGTGTACTTCTTTTATTTTGGAAAATAAATCAAATGATCATTCATCAGTTAGAATATGGAAAAAGTACGGATTTTTTTCTAACACGTTTAATAAAAACATATTCACAATGGTTACTTAATCTTGGAACTGATAATAAAGAGTATGCTTATTCGGGTTTATTGGCTATTATCGGAATTGGAAAAAAGGCTCAATATTCAGTCAAGTAAGTGTAAAAAAATGATGACAGCTGAAAATATAGTCTTCTTTAAACTTCCATTTAAAAATAATATCAACTTTCAAATTATATTATCTTAGTTAAAACCGAGACGAGTGTCTTCTTTAGGATACAATGATCATCAGTTCAAACTGAATTTTAACATATCTATTTTTTACTTATTTAGATTTCGTTTATTTGTTAAATTACTGGGTATAATTCAACTTGAACAAATAACTGATGAACCGTGTAAAGTTCGTATTGATCTTAATGATCGTCGACCTGATATAACATCAACAAATAATATTCAATTGAAACAAGCATTAGTGAATTTATCTCTAACAACCACCACATCAGCAGCAGCAGTCGAACGGGATTATAATGAATATAAATCGGAATTAATTCATTGTAACAGTGAATATTTAAGTAATCCACATGTTACTTACTTTGATATAACAAAATTGATTTTGTATTTATTTCAACAATTGTTTTCAGATTTACCATATTTATATTCGATAGTGACTCAAATAGCAGTAGCACATGACAATAACTGATAGTGAATGGTGCTACTATTTGTTTTATTTTTAATTTTAATTGCAATATCCATCCACTCACTACTGTTTTATATTGTATATATGTTTTTTAACATGTTGTAACAGTGCTTTTTGTTCAGGTTTTTTCCCTTAATATTGCACTTTATTTCTTCTTGTGAATAAAGATACATAACCTTGCACAAACTTTTATTAAGATAAACGGCTAATCTTTTTATTATTGTTCATATTGTTATAAGCTTTAAAGAAAGAAGAAAATAAAAGAAGCAACTTGGTATTAAATGAACAGAGCAAAAAGAAAGAGGAAAATCCAAGAGAGGATAAAACAACACTACACTACAAGGAATTTTCTACTACATCTTACTACACACCACTACACATATAGTACACAGATATGTAGTGGAGTGTACTAGATGTGTAGTAGAAAATTCCTTGTAGTGTCTTCCCCATTGGGAAAAACCCATTACATCAGTTTTGACTTTTCATGCGTGAAAAGCTCACAATTATACATATAGCTAAAATACGATGATACAGTCAGAGAAGGGAGCAAAAACAAATTAAAAACAAAAGAAAACTAGAGAGCAATTGCGCTGCGCACAAGTTGCGATGTCTCCAATCTGAATCTGCCAGAAGCGTCAATAGGAAGGTTACCACTTCACGTTTGTTGTGCTTTAGTAGCTTTAAAAGATAGATTTAAGAAAAATCAAATGAAAGCCAAATTTAAAGAAGAGAGAGAAAATTACTGTTCTTCTGAAGAACAAATGGCGCCGGACAGCTGAATATGCGAAAGTGCAACTTTCGCTCGTGGCGCTTATGGTATCGAATCTAGACCTTTATTTAGCGAAAAATGTGCGTTTATCAATCTCCAATGTCGGGAGAGTATCCTACCTCTTTCACAACTTTTCCGCTTCCATAGTTCCCTAGATCACGAGATGCACATTTTGCCCAAAAAACGGACGAAAGAAGAAAATAAAACTAGATTGCAATTGTGGTGCGCACAAGTTGCGATGTCGACAGACTCTGTCTCTGACTGAACCTAGCAGATCCTATCAGTAGGCTGTGAGCATTACGTTTTTGCTTTGATTTAGTCTTTGAACTGCTTATAATATAAAAGAATAATAAACAGAGAAAGAAATTATTTTTCGTTCTCTGACTAAATGGCGCCGTACAAAAATGACAATAATAATTATCTAAGTCCAAAACCCATTTTTCTTCTACTTGTGCAGCTTATGGCGCTGAATCTGGACTTGTGTTTGAAAAAAGAACTTGCATTGATCAATCTCCAATGTTGGAAGATTATCCTCCCGTGAAATTTTTCATTTTAATTTGTCATTGGTAACGCACGACATCGTGGACTTGCACTTCTTGCTATACAATGGCGAGCCGATTTAGCAGGGAGTGTCAAGAAGTTTATCTTATAATAAATATAGTTTAAACCAAAGGTGTTAATTTTTTCATTTGCTGAGGTTCAATGAGACGTACATTCCATTGTCTTACAACCCAAGGAAAGATAGAATTTTTAAAATTTTTTAAAATGTGTACGAAACAGATTTATTTAATCTCTCTCTTTTGAACGTGCTCGCATATTCACAACCGATTGGCAGGAAATTTTTTGAATTAGAAATGGTAGAGTGAGTCTTCTTTTTATTTTAAAGAAAAGCAAAATTTTATTTATTGCTTTTATTTAAAACTTTTAATAAAAAAGATTTTTGTGTCGCATACCTGCATTTTCAGCCGAGATTTTGGCTAATGAACCCTTTCCAGATGCGTTGCCGTATTTTGTCCGAAATCTAGCTGATTATATGTGATCGAAGGTGCTGCGTTGGAATATGATAGTCGTTTCTGACCATCTTGAGTTTCAGGAAAACCATGCTTTCTAGAGATTCTTAAATCTCAAATGGTTTTGTGGCATTTCTGAGACCGTCACCATGTAGAGTGCACAAAATAGTATATCTGCCAAAATTTTCACGACTATCGAATTGGTTTTGCCGGAGTTATGGAGCTTTTAAGTTCATCTGGTAGTTGCTAGTCATAGGAAAGGACTAATTATTAAAAAATCTGCAACTCCTCGAAAACTCATTCGGTAGTCTTAAACTTTGTGAGTATAAGTGACTCAATATTCTCTACAAGCTGGTCAGATCAGAATTTAGTTTTGCAGAAACTCACCAAGCGGGCAGAAACAACTGTCATATTCTTAATCAGCGTTCTCGATTACATATAATCCGATAAATTTTGGGCAAAATGCGATTGCGCATCTGGCGAGAGTCCCTCATAAGTAGTTTTCTACAATTTTTAGAGCTGGAACAAAAACCTTCAAGGCAATAAATAGTCCACATATCCGAGTATATTTTCCTCTATTTGAATCCGAAAAAAGTGCACTTTCAAATGTTTGTATAAAAGCCGTCTGGATGGCTCATGTATGGCGCCCCCATACGTACCGGTGCACAGTCAAATTTTATTTTTTTACCGGTGCACAGACGACTTTTTTACTTGAATACTCAAGAAACGCCGTTTTGGGTATTTTAAGATACGAAAAAGGGTTTATTAATTTTTTTGGTTCTTGTAAACGGCCCAAAGAGTTTTTCAACGGTGCTGCTAAACTCAAAAGGGTTTAATAGTCGTTTCGGAAACCTTTTACTCTCCTAAATACTTTTTTAGGGTCTAGTGAAGTGAGCTTTTTTAGAGAGTACTTTGACTTAAAGTATTGAATGAAGCAACAAACAAGAAAACTACTCGTGGATTATATTAGATCTGCGATTTTTTTCTTCAAACTTTTTCTTGCACGGAGAAATTTTCGAATCTTCTGGATAGATTCTTCACTTCTGATTTCAACAATGACCAGATAAAGATTCAATCTAGATGTTTAATTGGGAACATGCATACCACAAGATATAACTGATCGCCAATGTTTCCAGCGTCATCAACAACAATGTGAATGTCGACAGAAAATGATGTAATAAGCTGTGTATGGCTATTTTGCCGTAACGAAATTATTGGTTCCTTCAGAAGAAACTTAGTCAAAAGGTTTAGAATGATTAAACAATGGAATAACTTCTTTCTTGTTTATCAACTGTAGAAGATGAATCCTATTTCTTATCATCAATAATAACAATTCAAGCCAAGTTAGATAATCGCCCTCTAAAGAAGAAAGAATTTCAGTATTAAATATATTAATATTAATATTATTAATCATCGGCTTTATATTGAACTTGAGAATGAATAACATCGTTTAGCTTATGGGCAATGTCGATTTATTCACCAAAGAACGTTATAATACCATACACAATAACTACCGACAAGGTAACAGTAATATATAATATTTATTTGTTCCAATTTAATCTGTTAGGTTGATGTGAACTTTTAATCAATTTATTTTCGTAACTAATGGAGAAAGTGATATTTACTATTCATCGAATCGTCTTATTTTTCCTACGAAGCTGCAAAAAAACTGAACAACAAGATGAACGAGAAAAGAGACTCTTCTCATGAAGTCATTCTAGGCCATCAAGCATACTTATAACTAAAAAGACTTTGTTTTGGATGTTTTTTTATACATGTAGATTGTATATTATCTCGTCTTTCTTTACAATGTTTTTGTTTTCTGTTCTGCTTCTTTACTCTATACACGAATAATTTAACTGGTAATGTGAATAATCGATAAATATCTGATAAACAGAATCATTTTAATATACTAATGTATCTGAGAGTTTTATTATGTAAATAGTTGTTCGTTATTGTCTTGTTTGCTAGTTTGATTTTACATTTTTCATTCTGCATTGAACTTTTTTCACCTTTTAAGCGGGTTTTCATTTGTAAATATGTATGTATTAAGAAGGGAGGTATTCGAACCATACACTTTCTAGGTCATGCTGGTCATTTTTCCTCTTGTATACGTGACATTTTCTTGTATGTTGTAGGTATTTGTTCCCTTTTCTATTTTTGTATATAATGCATTGTTTAGTTCAGTTTTATTATTACATTATACCTTATCTTCTCGATGCTCATCTCATGTATATACTCTATTATCCCCCATTCTTTTCTCTAATCCTGTTATATTTTTAAGAATTTGGCGCACTTTTTTGGGTGTTCTTACCCTTTCTTCTTTGTGTTCGTGGGTGTTCTTTGGGTGTTCGTAGGTGTTCGTGGGTGTTCATTCAAAATGTATGCTTAAAAAGCGAAACTCAGATTTTAGTTTGGGGGTGTTCGTGTCTTTTAGCAATACCCTATAAGTTTCGACTCTGTGCATAAAGCTGCTAAAAGAGGTAGATTAACAGTAGAAATAATGTATTTATTCAACCATATCAAAAAGTTTTATCGCTGATTCTCATGTTTTGCATCCATTTTGCAATAAAGAGTGTTTTTTGTTCTAGATAAATGGCAGAAAAATCGACTGACAATTGGTTTCGAGAAGACAATCCAAATTTTTGGCCCGGTCAAAGTTTTTCATTGGAAATTGAGAAAGTAGTATATCAGAAAAAATCGAAATATCAAGATGTTCTTGTGTTTAAAAGGTAACCTATAATTGTCGATAATCGTAATGTTAATTATTTTAAATTTTATTTCTAGTAAAACATATGGGATGTGTTTAGTCCTTGATAATTGTATTCAATGTACGGAAAGAGATGAATTTTCTTATCAAGAAATGTTGGCCTTTTTACCATTGCTATCTCATCCAAATCCAAAAAAAGTGATCTTTTTACTCTGCTTAGTGATTGAATATGCACTTGTTCATTCTTTCGTTGTTGTAGGTTCTAATTATTGGTGGTGGTGATGGGGGTGTACTTCGAGAAGTTGTCAAACATCCAGATGTCGAAGAAGCTGTTTTATGTGAAATAGATCAAGTACGATAAATCATATATCATTCTCAAGACTATTTCATTTTATACCACTTAGTTATCATTACTCTCATGATATCATGTGTTACTTTAGGATGTTATTGATGTTAGTAAACTGTATTTTCCCGAAATGGCCAAAGGTTTCGATAGTAAAAAAGCGAAAGTATGTGTTCAAGATGGTTTTGAATATCTTAAAAGTCATCAAAATGAATTTGACGTGATTATAACAGACTCGTCTGATCCAGAAGGTATGTTAATGAAAAAAAGTGGACGTAGTACTTTATTTAATCTATTTTTCAGGGCCAGCAGAAGCATTGTTTCAGGAGTCGTTTTATTCATTAATGAAATCAGCATTAAAACCAAATGGTATTATATGTTGTCAAGGTATGCGCATTTATTGTCAGATATTCGGTACTATTATGTTTTTGCAAAAATTTCTTTTTCAGCCGAAAGTATTTGGCTTCATTTAAATTTAATAAAAAAAATGATGACATTTAGTAGAGAACTTTTTCCATCTGTTGCCTATGCTTATGCGTCAACACCCACGTATCCAAGTGGAACAATTGGCTTTTTACTTTGCAGTCTAAATAAAGTTTGTTTCTCCTTCTTTTTTACATACGTTACACGTCCCTTCCGAAATTTTCGCATGTTTTTTAGGATACAAAATTTGGCATTCCAAATTCAAATATTCGAAATATATTGTCGTCAGTGAACACACGGTATTATACATCGGCTATTCATCGTGCTGCATTTGTTTTACCAGCATTTGCGGCGAAAGTAAGTGATAATTAGAAAGTTATGTGCATAATCTGCATCTAATACAAATTTATATTGTTAGGAATTACAGCAAAACAACACTCTAGGAGATGAATAAGTGGCTGATGATAGGAAACTCATGGATAAAGACCAATTACACTGATACTCTTAAATTAAACTGTTCAAACGAGTTGCTGTTTTGTAATGGAAATAAAATTATAGTATTATTAATCGTCTATTTATGGACACATGCAATCGCTACTGTCCGGGGTGATAAAAACATACATTTGAACTAATATTGAAATTCATAGGATCCTTTTTTGCATCAATTATTCAATCTTTAAAAGAAAACAATAATAGCGTCACATAGTTTTAAACACGAGAGAAGAATACAATTTTTCAGGGTTTGAAAGTTTACTATCATATTTATTCATCAGCTTTCTACTATACCTATATCCTTTTTGCTTCCAGATAATCATTTTTTTTCATATTGCATGAAAATCGTGATTATGGCTAATATTTCATATCACTATCAAAACTGATTGAAAACTGTTGTAAAACGTCATCAATTAAACTTGTAGGTTCGCATCATCGTGTCCATCTAAGGAATGGGATCATCTTACTATCTGATTCTCAAATATGGAAATGATTATTTCTTTTACCAAATAGACAATTACCAATACAAAGAAAAGATGAATCAAATCTAAAATTATGTAAGTTTGTATAATAGTAATTCAAGACAAACGTCGTTTCTCACTCTGTATGTGTGTTGGAAGATGAAGTTAATCATTTAAGTAAGATGATCACTTTCAAAAACTAATAGCTATTTTATGATGTTAAGTTTGATCAAACACACATATGTTGAATGAAATAAAAATACAGACAACGTTGTCCTATATATAAATGAAAAAAATCAATTCTGAGCCTATTTTTTTTTTTAAAGAAGAGAATCATATAATTTCATCACTATTATGTAATTAGTAAAAAAGATATGTGAAAAATGAGATTGTGATTGGATTTCATTGTCGAAAATAAGGAAAAGACAAACTGTTTGTTAAATGTGGCGAACACTCAGACAAATTCTACTTAGAAGTATAAATACAAAAGATACTTGTTAAACCACAAAATCACATCGATCAGAGCAGATCTAATATTTTCAAGTAGCAACACTTTAACCCAATTAAAGGTAATCTAAAAAAATACCCATATTTTTACAATATACATAGTCAATGATACATTTGGTATTTTTCCAGAGTTTTACAAGTGACAATTATTCTTCTAACTAGCAATTTTTGTTGTGTGAAAATATTCATTCGTCTTGGAATCTTTTAATTTGTCTTGGCATCTATCAAACTAAATTAATCAAAAGACCACGTTAATCTGTTGTCTATATATTATCTAAATTTTTAGAACTGAATTTTTTTTTTCTTCTTCTAATAAAAGTTCTCACATTAACACTGAGCGATGTATTTTTTTCCTGCTGAGTTAATACCTGGTTCAATAGCCCAATAACGAATGAAAGAGAAAATAGAGTATATATGAACTGTGTTCAAAGTAATGAATAAATTGTCACTACTTCATTCCGCTCAGGTACCAAGGATTAAACGCGAATATTGAACTATGTGATGTGTGTGTCTGCTTTATTTTTAAACGCATCATTTACGATTAGAGATATATAAAGAGAAAAAAAATGGAGATAATCGATAGATGTGGACACTATTGACGCCTTTTGGTATTCTCCAGGGGATATAGTGATAGTTACTGTTTATATACCAATTAAATACATTTTAAATTTATAAATCACACTAAAACAAATTATATTAGGATATAAGGGTGTTATGATTATAAACTTAATAGGCATTAAACAGTTCGTTAGAAATATAATATTTCGACTACCTTCTGTTTTTCACAATAAAAGTTTATCGAATCATATTCCAATAATTGATGAAATCCAATCTTTGACTGTTGACAAATCTAAAAACGAGCTTCATAAAAGGTAAAATCCTTCATATCGACATTTGAGCGATCTTTCATACAATCATACACATACATTGTGTCACAATTTCTGTTCAAAATGACTTTCTATATCAGATATTATCTTGTGATTATAATATTTTGTTACACCAAGTTTCATCTCATAAATGTTCACATTTTTAAATTGTCTTGTTTTCACTTCCTCTCGTCTCCATGAGAAGCGCAAAATCTATTCGATTTTGTTAATTGCAAGAAACGTCAAATTGAAAAGCGTATAATATTAGTTGGCGTTTATACGAATTTTCTCTAGAGGCAAATAAAGTACTCTCATTTTTGTTTTGTGAGCTCTTCTTTCTTCAAACTTGTTCTTCAAGATATTTATACGCTTGAAAAGATTTAAGAATTTTAATTCATTAAAGCAGAATAGAATTGACATACTCATCTGGTAACCTCATCTTTCTTTGATTTCGTTTAATATAAATAAATCACTGTATATCATAACAAGACACATGTATGTGCATATACATATAGACAAAAGATAGAGTCGAACACCTTTCTCCTCTTCAATATTTGTATGCGGAACAACTACCGCTTTGATTATTCCTTCTGCAGATGATGATCCAGTCCGAGGACTCGTGTTTATTTTATTTTTTTTGTTCAGTTCTTCTTCTTCTCTCGTTCGTATAATGTCGTATACGTACTGGTCAAGTCAACAGCCAATAATCCATACATTAAAAAAAAATCCGCACTCATATAGATCCGATTTATTTCTTTTTTTTTTATCGTTCTCTTCTTTTTTTTTTCTTTCATTCCATATAGAAGTTCTATTATAGTATACTAGCAGTACTACAACAACAACTACCTATTCTTCTCCTCTTAACAGACCGTAAACCTATTTATTCGTTTTATAATAATATTAAATCAAGAGTGTGTATTTGTACATTATGTTGTTCCTGCAACTATTAATTATATAGTTTACATCAATTATTCAACAATATACGAACTTGTCAACAATGTATTCAATATTATTCATCTATTTAATTATCCATTGTTGTTTCTATTACACTCTTAATGGTCAAGGTAATGTAACTGAACATTTAATTTACATAAGTAGATTCATTTCTACTAGACTAATTACTATAGATAATGCTAGTTTTACATTTGCTGGTAATCTTTGTACCTTTCTCTAATGTCCATGACATAAAACTAAGGTTAACTGAAGAATAATCGAATTAAAAATGTTAAAAATAAATCTCAGATGACAATAATCTATTGCATAAGAACTAAAAAAACGATTGGAGAACGGCAACATATGGTCAAGGGAATAGATTTATATTACATGTTTAAAAGAACTAAAGATTAATGCCGGTATTCTGCTTGGTTAGTTTTGTCAGATAGCGTACTATCGAGACGTTTTACAATGATAAAAGAAAAGGACTTCTAACGGTTAATGTACACATCAGTTGAACTCAGTTAGTTGATGTTAGTTTAATATAAAAAAAAAAGAGATGTTAATCCGAGTGCTGAAGGTATCGTTTGAGTGTTGCTTTTTGATCCTATATACTACATTTTTTTAATGCAATCGGGGGGACATTATCAATATATTTTTTAAATTGACACATTTTGCCATCAGTGACATTCATTCAAGTTTAAAGTGTTTTTTCTTTTTTACTTTACGATAACAAGTGTACTAGTATATACCTTTAAGTTTTAAAAATGATAAACTTGAAAACAAGCATCAAACTCTTATAAATTACACAAGTTTACTTAGTTAATTCGTGAACATAACATTATGACTAAATTGATTATGAAATAGAAATTTTAGAAAGTCAGTTACTACATCGTTAAAGTAATATTTATTGCATGATCTTTTACTTGATTAATAAAAAGATGATATTGATCAACACATAGTCATATTACACATGTATAATATTCAAAGTCTGTTAAAAGACTTTTAGTCTATATTGACTATATTTTATCACCTTTTTGCGTATTGTGTGTGCGCAAAGAGGTCAGAAATTTGTTTTTTGCGCAATTTGAACATATGTATGACACACAATAACTTAACACATAGATGAGAGAGAGGAAATAACTGTTATTGATACCGGCGACATCCTTTAGTCAAATAAGTTAAACAATAAAAAGAGAATGATTATAAAAATGATATTTTTCTAAGCAGTTTATTGACGGAAATAAGATGCGCGACACGTTTAGATTAAATCAACTAAAAATGTGTGCTTCTTATGTTAAATATGCTGTAATAAAACCCAATATTCTAATTAGGAGAATGTATGTAAAAGTATTTTATTATGTCTGAAGTGATACTCATATGTATAGCGCATCATGACTAAGAGGGAGAAAAACAATGTCAATTGGTATTGTCTAGTGTGGTGAGTGAGTGTGCTTGAGACAGGATGCATTTGATTGTTCTTTTTGTTTTTTGTCTAAACCATGAGAAAGTTGACCACATGTACACTTGTTCATATTTAGAGATAAATTTGAAAATATAAGAAATTATTATGCTTATAAAAATGTTTAAATAGATAATTTAATGAGTTTTTTGCATTTTTAACTTATTTTTATTTTAAAAATGATACACTAATTTCAATAAATCATGTTATAATCAAATAGTATTAGTATCTAATATGATGAATAGCTAGATATACAAACATACATGTGATGATGAGATTTGATAATCACAATTCAAAAATATTTACTTGTTCTTAGGTTTTTATATTCAGTTTTCATCAGAGAATGAACATATTTACCATAAGACAGTTTTCTCTCTATCCATTCACTACTTATTCATGAAAAAGGGACAAAGCTTAAAATAACTTATTATCTCATAAGACTAACATTGAGAACTAATTTGAACAACTGATGCTTGTCATTATATCTATAAATCGGACGATTTTTCCTTATCTATTCAACATTTTTTTTTGTCTGCATTTTTGTTCTTCAATTTCACTATCGATGTACACATCTAAAAATAACTCTTTATCTTTCAAATTCTATCTGAGAAAAAAAGTTTTTTTTTGTTAAATACCAAATTGAATTCTGCTGTTATAGTCATTCATCATCATCATAGTCATTCGTTTATTTGTATAACAGACTTTCTCTACTAGCTACATTCCAGGATATAACAATAGATTACTCTTTGTTTGTTACGTAGAAATATGTTTAGTAGTTCTTTGTATTATACTCGAATAATAATTATTGTTCATGTAATTATATTTACTTGTGAATAGACAGTAATAATAATTATTTTTTTAAAAAGTGAATATGGCGTGCTCTTTTGATATATATATATAATATTGATTACATGTAACAGTCTTGAATATGGATGTGTACATGTTCTTTTGTAACATATTCTACTTTAGATGTGTCAAAATCCCCAAAATTTGATCGTTCATCAGAAATTGTTTCAGTGGTTGTTGGCAAACGTACAATATTACCATGTTATATACAAGATGTTAGTCAATTTAAGGTATGTTCTACTAGTAGACATGACATGACATGACAAAAAATGAGTGGAAAATCATTCATCTTTTATTGAGAGCACGTTTTGATATGAAGAGAAGATCTCTAAGAATTTATTTATAGGTAATTTGGATGAAAATGAATAATAGTTCAATATTGACAATGGATGATCGTGCCGTGAATGGTGATTCACGGATAACATTGTTACATGCCTATGCCGATGAATGGAATTTACAAATTGATGATGTTGATGAGGATGATGCTGGCGTCTATCGTTGTGTACTTAATAATGGAATGTATAAAACATTAACACTTCAAGTTAAAAGTAAGTATAGAACATTTCAATGTAGAATCTCAAATAATTGATGATTATCATTAACAGTTCCGCCACAAATCATTGATGAACAATCAACAGAATCTTATCCATCACCAATCACATCTGGATCAAATTTTACATTAAAATGTTATGCAAATGGTCGTCCATTACCGAAAATACGAATTCTATCATTTGATCAAGCTGAAAATACGAAAAGTTAGTAGATTCTAGTGTAACATTTTGTGAAATAGTTAATAACAAAAACAGTAATATCATAGAAGAAGATATATAAATGAGTGAAGAAAATGATATAGACAAGCGTAAAAATGTTTATCCAAGGTTATTGAGATGATAGTATCATTCGATTCTTCGCTCTTTCTTCCTTTGTTTAATCTTATATAGTGCATATAGAGACAATAAGATTTCCGTTTCCTATATCAACTTCAATAGTAAGTACATTGACACTTTTTTCCATATAATTAAACGCTATAACACTCTTCTCTCTCTTTATATGTTTTTAAGAACAATATTCTAAATCGTCCACACACACATAATCGGAAGTAATAGTTCATTGTGGTTAACAGTCAATTGAGAAGAGAAAATCTAAGCACAATATTGTTACGTAATTCTGTTTGTAAGATATAGGTTCGATTTATTAGCGATTTCTGAAATAAATAGTTTTCAATGGAAAAACCATATTCTATTCATTATCGTTAGTCAGACATTCAATCTAACTTTAATGGTTTCTCCTCTCTTTTTTCATTTATGGTTTCTTTTTCTGTTACCGAGCTTCAGTGGACAATACAAATTTATGACAACTAATGATTTATCTAAATAAACTCTGTAAACATATAGTCCTTAATATATTTCATCATATCGTATAGTTGATTAAACCTATCATTTAAAATATTTGTCCATAAGTCATATTTATTAAACACCCAGTTATGGAATGCCAAGGCAAGACATTTAATAACATATGTAAAAATATTCATGATTACGTCTATGATCGCGTTGATATATTTCTGATCGATTTCATGCTGTGACTACTCTACTTAACATCAATATTAAAATAACGATTTAATTTTAATTGTTGTTTTAATGAACAATCGAGTGTTTGTATAAATACTCTCAACTTTCAAAAGAAAATGGAGTCTTTTACATACATTGTTCTGCTAAAAAAAAAAAGAAAAACTTGATGCTATAAGGCTTATGGTTTATATTCTTTTTGTGTACAGTTTAGTTATATTCTTAGTTTATGTGACCTAATTGCCAATTAATCTTAGTTCAGCTTTAGAATCGACTTTCTCATCACTTTAAAAGTATACGTAATTTATTTCTATTCTAGTTATTAGTGAAAATAATGAAGTCATTTTATATAATGTCTCTCGTCATACTCGAAAACGTTATGAGTGTATTGCGAGTAATGGTGTTCCACCTGATGTTGCCCGATCGTTCCAATTAACCATACAATATCCACCAGAAGTAACCACATTACTAACAATAAATGATAACGGTAATAATAGTACTCAAAATCAATTATTTGTGGATTTGGGACAAGAATTACGTATTAAATGTCAAATAACAATGTATCCATTTGGTAAAATATTTTGGACAAAAAATAATATTCAAATTGATAGTAATCAAAATAATTATGAACAATACGCTTCATCTTATTCGGATAACTATGTTATTATTGAATTGTATATTAAACAAATTAATTATAAAGATTTTGGTTTATATTCTTGTTTTGCCCGTAATGATCTTGGTAGTAATTCGAAAACAATACGTTTAATTGAAAATCCAACTACAACAACATCTACTACAACTGTATCAACAACAACCACCGTACAACAAACAACGATATCATCATCATTACTACCAAATTTTGGTAGTGAACGTTTTTTATATAATCGTGAATCGTATACTGACTTAAATAAACAACAACGTCCACGAAAACGGCCAAAAAATTCTACACGTACAAGTTCAACATCTCTAAATGTTATTCAACAACGAGAAGCAGAAAATCTACGAGTTAGCATTTCATCAAAAGGTAAATCTATATTGAAGAATGTTTTAGCAGTATATTAGTGATTTCGATCAATCATATTTGTTGTTATCACCAAAGCAATTTTTCTCATAACAGAGCTCTTCATCGTTTTAATGTTTGTGTACAGATACAAATTGATGATGATGATGATTTATGTATCGATCTTAAATATGTTGAATCTAAACAAACTCTCAATATGTTCAAATAATTGAAGAAAGAAAGAAAGAAAGAAAGAAAAGCCGACAGTTGTCAAGGTCTCATCTCATTTCAACATAATTAGTGACACTATTGAATTCTTTTTTAAAATCTAATATCCAATCAATTACATGACCTTCATCATCATCATCATCATCATGAAAAAAAACATGCCCTTTTTTTTTTCTTCCTTCATTTCGTCCCGAGGAATATATATCGGTATATCAGATTAAGACTTTATAGATAGTTAAATTGATTCAATTTAGATCCGTTTAAGATATATAGACTAGAGAGAGAGGAAAAAAATGTCTTTATAAAAGATCAAACAAAAGTTAAAGAGACACTTTATTATTTGATAGATGTTTTTATATTTTAGAAACAATGTTTGTTGTATCCAGAGACTTTTTTTCAATTTTTTTTGTAAAATCATAACATCATAGTTTAGGGTCTGATGGGTTAGTCAAATGCCGATGTTTTATATACTTAAAAATAGTAGTTCATCATTAGAACCATGATTAATGATACGTATTTTATATTTTCTAGCTACAACAATATTAAACGAAAACAACTGTTTAATATACAATATTCTTCTTGTTGTTATGATGATCATTATAGACGTACAAAGATGATATTGATGATGATCTTTGTTTTTATCTGCATGTTATGGATGTATAGATATTAACAATACTGTGATAATGGCTCAGGTACTTCAAAAGAAAATATGTCATTATCTGCTTTTTTGGGCAAACATTTTTTTTCTTAGTCTATTATTTTGATCAATGTTTAGACATCTGATTATTTTGTTTTTTTAGTACTCCAGTGACCAAAAATTTAATTCATTATGTGGCTTAATCGAACATTGCAATTTTATAAACATTTAGTGTACGTTGAACCGGTTGTTTTAAATCTCGTGGTGTGAGGTCACAAGTACCACAAACTATGTACATACATTTTCTGACATTTGTTTTCTGTTTTTGAAATTTCATTTTTGTTTCTTTATTGACTTCTTTTTTTTTTTTATAGTAATTGAAAATTGCAGCGCGAAAATAGAACGATTATATTTTCAGAAAAAAATAAAATTGAAATTGAACTCTTAAACACGCATAAAATTTCATGGATAGTAACGCTACGGTCACCCTACAGAGATACGATCTACATTTAATGTTTCTTTATTTTTAGACCTGTTGAACTATGTGATTCTCTCATTCTTTAGTCAAAAAGTAAATTTGTTTTACAACAACACAAACAGCAAACATTTCACTCTCTTTAGTCTATAGATTATATTAAAAAAATTTTGTTCATGATCATGTGTTCATCTATGGGAACGAGTCTACTGAATTTGAAGGACATAGACAATAAACCGGTATAAATGTATGACACACGGTAGTCGTTGAACAATTGTTTTAAACATGCGCTGACCATTTTATTACAACTGTTGATATAATGATGTGAATGTTTGCTACCGGATATTGTACAGATCATGAATAGTAGAACAAAAGAAGAAAAAAAAAAGTAATAATATGAAATAAAGAGAGTGATGAAATGTAACCATTAACGGTTGAATTAGTCAGATATGGCACAATTTTCATCTATATGACTAACTATAGGATTAGTTAGAAATTGAACACTTTGTTACATCAATTCATACTACTCGAGTAGTAAACAACAGACTATACGGTATAATTTTTGAAAAAAATTTCTTAAAAATCATTTTATAATGGTTGACTGTATGTCATGCCTGATTAGTAGCAGCATGTCGTTCATCCAAGGAGAGAAAGATTTCAAAAGAGATTAGGTTTAATTGAAATCTTCTTCTTTGTTACCGTTTCTAATTAGTTTTAATTTTTTATCTCAATTCAATGTGGCATTTTCCATCATAATTCATTTGATTGAAAATTTTGATAAGAGTGTGAATCTATTTTTCAATTATATATATATGTCACTATAGAAGAAGATATAAACACGACACTCTTGAAAAAAAAATAATGTAAATGTGTATTCTTCTTTGAAGTTGTTTTTTGTCTGAGAGAGTGATCAAACCGGACACACTCAGTACAAACTAGAAATACAGTAGTCGAAAATCGATACATTATGTTTCTCTCTATAAATGAAATAAGATATATTAGACTATTAACTATGTCCGATTTACTTCATAAAAATTAAGAACAGAAACTTGATAAAATAGAAAGATGAAAAAGGCAAACCGCACTTGATCGTGTTAATAAGATATACTCACTAACTACTCAACCAATGAACTACAAATCCAGTTTAGTGATGAGACGACTGTATGACAGTTTTAGTTAAATAGAAAGAGGCATAACAGTATTAATTTTGACTTTAAGGGTGAGGAGTGTCGCATATTTGCAGAGTCGTCAGCGGTTTCGTTTCTTCTTCTATCTCAAGGTTTTGACATATGCTTAACGTGATTTTATATACGATTATTACATAAATAAAGAATGGAGAAACAAATCATCAAAGCGATTTTCTTCTTTTTCTACTGTTTACATTTACTACCTCTCTATAAGCTCGATAGATGAGTATTTTATAGTTAATCTAGAAAATATTACACGGTTCAATCAATAGAATAGTGGGAAAAGAGAATTTCATCACACACACACCATATCTAAACAAATGGGACCGCGTGTGAAAGAAATGTTGATTATTCAAATTTACATAGGCGCATATCATTTCAACTAAAAACATTATATTTGACTATCATCTTAAAATAACTGTCTTTTGATGACGTTTTTCTTTTTTCAAATGAGAAATATTGATTTCTATGGTTCATAAAACATCTAGTAACATTGAGAAGAATATTTTCTAATTGATATATAGTGTGACTTTATGGCAATTTTAAACATTTAACAGAAGATAAAATGTCAAGAACGTATCACCACGAATCGTTTTAACTGCTGGTGACATTTTAGATATACAATCGTAGATGTATAATGATTTAAAACTGATCGTTAACCATCTGTTTATTTTATTGACACTTCAATATATAATATGAACTTACGTAAAGGTGTTTTTTCAAAATATATTTTTTATTTCTGGTGAAAAATAATTAACGAATTGTTAAATGATTATTTTCGTTTCATTTCGTTTCTCCTCTTTTAAAAATTGGATAATTGTGCGCTCCATTATGTTTCTGATATTTAATATGGTAGTCAGCTTGAAGAAGGCGTTTTTAAAATCAGTCAAAATCAATTAAAATTCTTCAATTACTTTATTATCTTAGAAATCATAACATTATCATTAATAGTAATTTGATAGCGCAGGCAAACAGAAACAGATGGTGAGATACAGAGGGAGAGGGAAAGAGAAGATCGACAAATTCCATTGAACATCTATAATTTCAATTCAAATCACAATGATGAGCAATATAAAACAGTTTCTATCAATCTTGACCTGTCTCTTTGTCCATTCAACAATTACTTTTCTTAATAACATGAGGAGTAAGAAAAAATTTAAATGTTTTATTAGTAAAGTAATGATGGAAATTATTATGTTTCTATTTCTCATGACGTTACATCAGAGATTCATTAAGAAAGTACCAATAAATTACACTCGTACCTAAAGCAAATCACTATGAATCGTTGTCTATATTAGCATTCAACCACTGTACAATTTATAGATGAATAGATGAACAAGTATCGAAATATAGAGCCGCTGAGTACTGATTTGTACAGCATTAAATGTAAGTTTGAACGAATGAATAGAAACAACTATGCAAACAAAACTTAATCATTTTGTCAAACATATCTATCGATAAATACAAAAAAAAATTCAAAAGAAATATGAGAACAATTATTCAGCTCAAATAAAGAAATTATTCAGAAATCTAAAAAATAACCAAAAGACCATTCGAATTAAGTAACAGGGTAAATCGCCCAGTGAAGTTTAGTCAGTTAAATTTTAGATACGGTCGATAATTATATATAAGATGTTAAAAAACAACTTGATTATGACTAGAGCTGATTATCATACGAAACGAATGGTACGAATGAAAAACTTACCCGTTAGCGGTAATTTTACGGGTATGAATAGTAGAAAATACAACTCGTGACTTAATGACGTCATTGAAAAGTTTAAAATGCGGTGATTTATAACTAACTTTAAACTCATTTTATTTTTTACCATTGCATAAGCGGAAAACAGTTTATAAAATCATTAGTTATCAATCAATTTATAACTGTTTCGACCGCTTACCCCCATATGAGACAATAAACTGAGCGTACCAAAAGGAGACAATAAAATGTAGTTTTAAAAGAGATAATAAACTCTGACGTTTAAATTGAGACAACGAATCTTTATATTCCAAAAGAGATAATAAATTTTAATTAGAATAATAGAACAATTACAATACACCATCTTCTTTATCCTTTTTTGTTGCTGTTTTTTCATGTTCGTACAATGAATTGTAAGCTTTAGCTCGGACTATTTTACGATATTCCTCTAACTTCTTTGTTGATTCGTAGATCTGCCTGGTATCGACCAGTTATTTTTTATTTATTTGAGAGGATTTTGCTAATCTTTTCGACGGTAATTGTTGATAAATTTCTTGTTTATGATCAAAATGAGCACTCTCTTCTTCTTTCTTGATATTTTCTACCCAGGTCCATGTATTTGCACAAAAGTCACATATATTATTTTAATTGTTCTATTATTCTAATTAAAATTTATTATTTCTTTTGAATTTGCTATTTTGTCTCATTTTATTACCTCATTTGGGGCATTTGACTTTATTACCTCTTTTGGAATACTAAGATTCATTGTCTCAATTTAAACGTCAGGGTTTATTATCTCTTTTAAAACTACATTTTATTGTCTCTTTTGGGTACGCTCA